TTCGGAGTTCCATCTTGGGAGTCAGGAACGGAAATGGCTGGCTTAAAAGGCTGTAAAAAGTTTTTCAACGGAGCTCATCGATAAAAGTGCGATGTCACACAAGTGCCCGGCCACAAACGCGCAAAAGACGCATACGCCACAACTGTTTAGCGGCAGGCAAGCAGGCAGCATCTGTTTGCAGTCATGAGGCGAAATGTCCTGATATGCGATTGGTCGTCTCAGGCTCTTCCTTTTGGCCAGCAAAAAGGGCCGCTGACGTTTCAGAACACCAGGCGGGCACAAAGTGCGTGTATTGTGTATGTTTGTGTCCCCCAGAAACGCACAAGCACACCCCCTTCAGCAGAAGGCAGTGCCCAGAATAAAAATGCAATTTGATCCTGTGTGTAACTGGCACTTTGCAAAAAACCATCCACCTCACAGCCTAAAGAAAAGCAAACTTTTTAATTTGGGGGGCGGAGGGGGAATAACTTGCAGGAAAAGATCACATGCAAATATTCTGGAAAATGGTGCCCGTAAAATCGCTACCTGAACGGCTCGGCTGATGCTAGCTATATATATGTAGTCCTCGATTTACGACCGTTCATTTAGTGACCAACGCGATGGCACTGAAACAACTGGCTTACATCTTCATTTTCACACTTAAACCGTTGCAAGAATTCTCACAGTCACAAGATAAGAATTCGGCCACTTTTGCAGCTGGCTCATGTTTATGACCCAATTTTCTGACCCTGACAAGCCATCATTTGGGGGTGGGAGAAGCCCAATCTGCTTAATCGGAGCACGAGTCACTTAACCACCCTGATTTTGAAATAACCATGATAAAACAGGTTGTCAAAATGGGGCAAAGTTCACTTTAAAACAGCTGCCTTAATCACAGGCTCGATTGTGGTCATTAGTCAAGGACTCCTATAAAGGACCCGGATAGAAAGATTTATAAATCTGGTGCTGTGGTGGCCTAGAGGTGGAGCTCTCACCTCACAATTAGGTAGCTGTGAGTTCGATCCTAGGTAGAGGCACACTGGGCACACTGAGAATATATCTGCTGAACAAAACACTGCGTTGGCAACAGGAAGGGCAGCCGGCCATGAAACTCTCCACTACATTAAATTGCCCAGAATCCACCCTGCAAGAGATTACAGGATTGTTAAAAGATGATGATAGAAAGATTTCTAAAAATTATACTGGTGAGGCAACCCCCTTCTCCCCGAACAAAATGGTATTTAACAAAAAAAAAACATAAAGGAGAGTTGGATTTTAAGGTTACAGAGAGTAATAGAAGTAGCAACTCTATGTAATAACTTGAGCTATCAAGATATATATATATATTTATGAAAGGAACTAAAGTGATAGTTGGTGTAGAAATCTTATTAACACCACATTGTGGTAACGATTGGGATAATGTGGATTATTATGTAGGTGTAAATGTTCAATTATAAGAACAGATGCGTATCGCATATTTTTTTTCTTTTCTTCTTTTTTAGACAGAGATGATGTCCAAAACTTTTTCTTCTGCAGTTTGTAAACTAGCCAAGATTGTTAAAGAGATTTCTCAGCAATAAAAAAGCAATCCTTTTTAACTTGCATTGTGTCTGCGTGCCGTTCTCATGACCCCTTGGCCGAGAGTCAGTTCTGCCCAAGGAATGTCTTTCAGCGAAGTTGGTTGCCAGAATTTTCAAGTTGCCCCCAATTTTACAACCATTCGAAATGCAAATGGCTTTGAAAAAAATATAGTTTACAACTTGTCCCCACACTTGTTTCCTTTATTGTGTCTTGCCAAAGTAAATCAACAATTTGTAGCCTAGAACAGCAGGTCGCCAACCAGTGGGCCGCAAGAAAATGTTGGTAGGCGGCAGAGAAATCTCACCCCCTGAGCAACCCCCCCAAAGCAATTAAACCAGGCTGCGCGGGAACACAAGTCTGCGCCACCCACATGGCCCGCGGGAACCCTCCCTGCACGCTCACTCCTTACCCAGCAAACTCGCCTGTTAAATTGCTATTTTTCCTTCAGACCATCATCTGTTCTGTGCCGGGAGATTTAGATTAGCTAGGAAGCAGCAAATGGTTGGATTTCTTGCTTTCTAGCTAGTCTTTAGATCTTCGGCTCTGCTTTTAAGCACAGCCGAACCTCCCTTAGGACTGAAGGTTCTGTTATCCAGTGCAGACTCATGGCAAGCAAATTTGAGAGGCTGAGCTAGCCGATGGCAGATTGATAGATCACTGAATGATTCTGTGAGCAACTCAAATCTGCCTGCCTGCTTTGCCTGATTTTGGGTAAAAGTTGCTTTTTTTATTATAAAAAAATTCAATATTTATATAAATATAATATTTACATACAAGGCATGCCCAGCCAGTCACATGACCACCAAGCCACACCCACAAATTAGGCCACACCCACAGAACAGTTAGTGATCCCTGGGATTTAAAATTGGTGGTCCCTGAGGTCCAAAAGGTTGGTGACTCCTGGCCTAGAATCTTGCCGAAGTAAAGCAACGATTTGTAGTGCTATTGATATTCAACAGGCCTTGACATCCAACAGCTCATCTATTGGTAGTTACTGTTCAAAGTTACAACCGCCAAAAAAGGTAACATGGTCGTGGTGACATCATCAAAATTTGGACGTTTGGCATCTGACTCATATTTATGACAGTTGTAGTGTCCCAGAGGTCATGTGATCCCCTTTTGCAACCTTCCAATTGAGCAAAGTTGATGCGGAAGACTTAAGTCACTTAACGGCCAAATGGCAAACTTCACGGACACAGGGATCCGCTTAAGAACCGTGTGTCAGGATTCCGTTTTATAGTTGCCCGCAGAAAGGGGCGGAGTTTGAAAGAGCAGTGCAGCAGTTTGGAATCGAAAGTGCATTCCACTCATATCTTGCAAAGATAATTAAGCAACTGGAGTTTCTGCCGTGCAAATGTCTAATTGGAGAGCATAATTGATGACTCTTGGCTACAGACGTGTTTCGTTGAATATGAATTATGATGCACCCAGAGGGTTGGGGGGAAACTAGGGTCAAGGGTGACAGTGAACGATGTGTCTCAGAATTGGCTAGCTGTCAGGATTCCGGCAGCGGCCCTATTTCAAGCCAAACTTCAGAAGGATTTCCAGAGGATTTATTAGGAGCTAACGTGTCCGTATGACATGACCTGTGAATAGCCGATTCTGAGACATGTCATTCACTGTCACCCTTGACCCTGGTTTTCCCCCACCTCTCTGGGTGCATCATAATTCATATTCTCCAACGGAACACGTCCATAGCCTGGAGTCATCAATCATGTTCCCCAATTAAGAGATTTGCATGGAAACTCATATCTTAGTTATAACTATTCATATATAATAGATCAGACATCCAGCCCTTGCTTATCAAGGGAGACCGAGTGGAGCAAGTGGCCAGTTTTAAGTTTCTGGGTGTTACCCTAAAAGAGGACCTGACCTGGGGGGGTGCCCCCATTGCAGCCCTGGTCAAAAGGGCCCAGCAGAGATTATATGAACTGAGGCTTCTCAGGAAACAACCACTGAATGGAAAACTGCTGGTGACCTCCTACCGCTGCACCAGGGAGAGAGCATTTTAACTTACTGCACCTCTGTCTGATTTGCCAATTGCACCGGGGCAGATCGGACAGCCACTCCAGAGGGTGAACGTCATTGCCCAGAGGATCCTGGGTTGCCCTCTCCCCTCTTTGGAAGAGCTTTATGGCTCCCGCTGCCTTAAGGAAGGTCAAAACATTCTCAAAGTTCCACCTCATCCTGGGCACCAGCCTTTTTTTGAACTATTACCGTCTGGCAGGCAGTACAGGAGAATAAAAACAAGGGCAGATAGGCTGAAAAACAGCGTCTATCCCAGGGCAGCAGCTCTGTTGGATTCTGCTGTATAGTGCAGTGTTGGTGTGCTGTCGGGGGTTTTCAGTTCAATGTGTGGAGAGTGAAGGATGTGTGTTTGTGTTTATTTTCACGGTCATGGTGTGCCCTGAAGATGGTGTTTGGTTTCGTTATATGAGGTGCAAGGACAATAAAAGTAAACTAGTCTTTGTAAGATATGAATGGAATGCGTTTTCAATTCCAAACCGCTTCACTGTTTTCGAACTCCTCCCCCACTTTCTGTTGGCAACTACAAAAACGCTTTATGAGTTCACACCGTGACAAAGGTTGTAAAACAAGGCAAAACTCAATGGTAATAAACAAGAATTAAAATTCAGAAGGAATAAAATGACAGGAATCGTTTGAACTCACAAAGTGCAAAAATTTTATTGGGCACAGAACAAACAGGATTCATTCCGGCCGTAAATTCGCTCGTAAATATAATACTGAATAATACTTTCCAAATATTTCTCAACTAAAATTTTAATTTTTAATCCTTTTTAACAAGTTCGTGTTACTTCTGTTTTACTTTTTCAATTAAAAATTTCTCCTACATTTTCTGAGAAACTAAAAGGAACTTTGGGAGGTGATTTACAATTTCTAGATTTACCCAGAATTTTCAGCGGCGGTTGTACAGCCAGGGGAATTCTGGGAATTGAAATTTGATGGAGGAACTGAACAGAGATTTAAAGGTCTAAAGAAAATAAATTAAAGCTACATATAGGTATGTTTAGGGAGGAGACGGGATACAGGCATCTAAGCCTTAAAAATTCTCATTTTTCTTTGCTTGAAATAGGATGTTGGCTCTCAAACTTGGCACTTGAAGAGGGGAGGACTTCCAACTCCCAGAATCCCCCATCCGGCATCCTTTTAGGGAGTGGGTTTCAGCTCCCAGAATTAAAGCTTGCTAGCCAGGGGATTCTGGGAGTTGAAGTCCTCCCCGCTTAAAGCATGCCAGCTTGGGGATTCTGGGAATTGAAGTCCCATCTATTTTCAAGTTGATGAGATGCAAGACCTGCCAATCTTGACCAAGAGACGAATAGGGGGAAAAGATAAATGAAAAGCTCCATTTCAACTCAAGCTGGAATCCATTTCGCTGACAAACCTTTGTTGACTTTGATCAAGACATTTCTCTTCCATTTGCCCTTCACAAAGGATCCCGACAAAATACTACACTTGGTGAAACCGAGTTACGAACCTGCCTGAAAAAGACCATTTCAAGTATGTTGTTTTTTTTTCCACTCAAAATTCAGCCTCGAACCCACCCCCCTCCAAAAACACAATGGGGTGTCATCCCAAATTGTTAATTTTTGGTACAGCAATACTTCAAATGCCGGATCGTTTTCTCCCGACTGTTATTGTAAGCTCCAGGGGTGGCGGGGATGAGATTTTTAATCGCACAAGTTCCCAGGCCATTAATCTGTTTCCCGAGAAAAATCCTTTGGGAACACTGCACTAATTTAGATTATATCTGAAAAATAAGACCCAACTGGAAAATAAGCCCTAGCCTATTTCAGGATGCTTCTAATATAAGTCCCACCCCCAAAATTAACCCGTTAAGATGGTCAACCAGAGGAACACATTTGGAACCGTATTTTCCTGAAAATAAGACCCAACCAGCACATAATGTGTTTACGAGAAAGTCTGTTGCAAAATCTGCCAGCGTCGTTCCTGTTTCCGGGATAGAAAAATTTTGGGGGGAAAATGGGAATTGCAGACTAAGGTGGAGTGTGGAACAATTCAATGAATCCGGCCGCAATTTAGGCGGCGAAGAAAAAACAAAGAACCCATTCTCGTTTTTGAGGAATACTTGTTGCAACCAGCAGTCGAAAGTTGCGCTTCTCAAGCACGGCCCCTTTTTAAGACGGGAGCCGAGCTTGTGAAATACGTCCACTGGCAGGGTAGAAAAAGGGTAGAAACACAACGGCATTTCCCAAGGCATCGAAAGGGTGGGGGGGGAATTGTGGAAATTTTGGATCCTGCCGGGAAGATTGCATCTTCTCCGCCCCGCCGTGGTGGCGGCCTGTCACTGCACTGAGCATACGTCCAAAATGCAGAATTTGGCTCGGCAGGTGGGGCAAGGCACATGGCTGGAGAGCCAAGTCTCTGGGTGTTGCTGGTCCTGCTGGCTGGCGAACCATTTGCCCATACACAGCAGGCACCACATGGGGTAGCAGAAACACAGCTGGCATTCGCCCTCATGCAGCTCCTGGCAATTCTTCAGCAACTTGACGTTGGCGCGGGACTGCATGCAGCCAATGCAGAGGTCCAGCTCCTGTGGAGGAAGCAGTAAGATCATTAGAGATGGTCAAAGCTGGGTGGTTTTCTTGCAGACGTCTCATGACCCAACTAGGTAGCGCCACCGGGGCTGGAAGGGGAAGAGGAGATGGTTTTCTTGTGGACCTTTCATGACCCAACTAGGAAACGTCATCAAGGCTGGAAGGGAGTGGGGTTTGTGGAGAGGAAGAGCAGGAGGACTGTGGGATCCTTGACGCTCTCCGAATTTGGGGTTTTCTTACAGACGTTTCATGACCCAACTAGGGAACATCATCAGTTTGAGAAAGGAGGAAGGAAAAGGAGGGAGGGAAGGAAGAAAAAGTAGGGAAGAAAGCAGGACTGTGGGGTCCTTGAGTTGGGTGGTTTCCTTGCAGAC